CTATCTATCTATCTATCTATCTATCTATCTATCTATCTATCTATCTAACCTTTACCTTATCTACCTACCCAACCACCCACCCATCTATCCATCCATTTATCTTCTAAAAGGGGTTAGAACCACTCCTATGGCATAAAGCCGAGCAGTACTTTTGTAGACAGAGAGGTGGAATTGGATTGATCTAATAATACCGGTAGCATTTTAAAGATAAAAACAAATTAGACTGGCCAGGGTATTTAATAAAAAGTGGAAATACTAACTCGTGACTTTGTTTATGTACTATCGATCTGCTCTGTGATGCATGACATGGAGGAGACGGAGCAGTAGACTTCTTGCTTTCTCTAAACCGGGGGTGTCCAACCTTGGCAACTTTTAAAGACTTGTGAACTTCGACTCCCAGAATTCCTCAGCCATGCTGGGGAATTCTGGGAGCTGAAGTCCTCAGGTCTTAAAATTGCCAAGGTTGGACACCCCTGCTCTAAGTGGCAGAAATGTTGCACTACCTTCTAACAGAAGAAAACTCTCCTTTTAAATAAAAAAGCCTTTAATGAAAGGTTAAACCTTGAACCTCCTTGATATTTAAAACTTAAGTTTCAGTCCAAACTTGTGGAACTGTTTGGTCACCTACCTTGAAGCGTCGCTTTCTTTCTTCAGCGTCCTTGCATTTTTTTTTTTTGTCTTTGCAGTGAAGAAGAAAAAAACAACAACCATCCAGATCCCCATCTGAGGCAATCCTGGGATCGATCCGGGATCCGGAAGAGGCGTGAAGGCCAGATCCGTAGACCAGCTCCACCTGCCAGCCTGTCCAACATGTCGGGGCCTGTGCCAAGCAGGGCCAGAGTTTACACAGATGTAAATACACACAGACCACGGGAGTACTGGGATTACGAGTCGCATGTGGTGGAGTGGGGGTAAGTTGTCCTGGTCTAGATGTGGCCTCTTGGTTCCTTTTTGGTTCCAAAGCTCTTGTAACACTTTTACAAGAGGTTTTTATTCTGTTCTGTAAATTCTATTCTGTTCTATGGCGATTCTCCCCCCCCTCCAGGTCACGGTTGTCCCAAAGGTGCTTTTCCCCCCCCCTTCCTTCTTCCAAAGGCAACTGGACTTTCTGCTTTTTTCTTTTGAAGGCGTTTTGCTTCTCAGCCGAGATGCTTCTTCAGCTCTTCGACTGGATGTGATGGGGAAGGGAAGGATTTATACTCTTTGCGGACAGCTGGTCATTTGCATCCTTTTTAGAGAGTCATTGAGGCCACTTGGATGTTTGTCCGTGACATCTGGGTCATATGAGTGGTGCAAATGGATGTGGAGCCTTCTTGGAACTGTTGAAAGGACTCTGTTCTGTTCTTATCCTTATCCTGTTCTATTTTCTGCTCTATTTTATAATCTCCTCCCTTCCCCCTCTCACCCTCTCCTCCTCCTCCTCTCCTCATTCTTCTATCTTCTGTTTTCTTCTCCCATTCCTCTTTTCTCTCTTCTGTTTTCTTCCATTTTTCCCTTTTTCACCTTCCCTAACCATGTGAGCCGCCACACTCCACTGCCAGCTGGGGCCAGAACTCATTGTCTTCTGGGGATTGTCCCAAAGTCACCCAGGCATCTTTCATGCCTAAGGTGGGACTAGAACTCACCGTCTCCTGGGGATTGGGCCAAAAATCATCCAGCTGGTGTCATTTCCCACCAATGTTGAAAGGATCCATCGCATACTTTATCCCTCCTCCCTCCGTGGCTAAAACCATGCATGTGGTGGTGAAGCTGGGATCTTTCAAAGCCAGTCAATAAGAAAATAAAATTGGTCAGGGAATGATTTAGTGGCTGCTGCAGAATTAAAAAAAGAAGAAGGCTTGATTCACTGCCTCTCCTCCCTATTAAAAGGGAGCCCTTATTGACACATTATCTGTTAGGTGTATCTTTTCAAAGCAACCTATATAGCACTCTCACCTCTATTTTGTATCACGTCCCCGCTGCAGTGTGGAGGAAATTAGGCAGAGAGATTATTCAAATCTCTGAGTCAGCTTCCATGGCTGAAGGTGGCCTTGTTTCTGCACTCTTAGGTCCTAATCCTGTCATTCCTGAAAATTATTTAGAGAATTAGGGAAGTAGAGGCTAAAACATAAAGAGGAACAGTTGCAGGAACTGGATATAATCTCTAGTCTAACAAAGAGAAGGACTCGGGTGATATGATAGCCATCTTCCAATATTTGAGGGGCTGCCAATGAGAAGAGGGGGGTCATCTTATTCTCCAAGGCACCTGAAGGTGGGACAAGAAGCATCGGATGGAAACTTAATTTAGGGGAGAACTAAAATTCTAAAACGAAGGAGAAATTTCCTGACAGAACAATTAACAGTGGAACTCCTCGCCTCCAGAAGTTGTGGGTGCTTCATCACTGGAGGTTTTCAAGGAGATATTGGACAGCCAGCTCGAGCAGAGGGTTGGACTAGGAGACCTCCAAGGTCCCTTCCAACTCTCTTATTCTGCAGTCTATTAAATTTGCATCCTGCCCAAGTGGCAAGGACTCTTATGTGCATTAATCTGTGAACCGTTGCAGATATTCTGCCGGTTTTAGCCAGCAATTGGTTTAGATGGACGAGTGCTCTCTGCACATGTTAACTCTTGCTACAAACAAACAAAAAATCTGGAGCTTTTTGGTCTAATTTTTGACCGTGGGAAGAATACATAGGAAGGTCTGGTGGTTAAGGGACCAGGCTAAAAATTGGACCATTGAGTTCTAATCCCGCTTTAGGCATAAAAGCTGGCTTGGATGACGTTACGCCAATCCCCAAAAGACCCTGAATTCTAGTCTTGTCTTAAGAAAAAACAAAGTCAGCTGGGTAATTCTGGACCACTCACCGGGAGTTCTAGTTCCGCCTTCATCATGAAAGCTGGCTAGGTAACTTTGGGCCAGTCGCCAGGAGATGATGAGTTCTAGTCCTGCTGGATGACTCTGGGGAAATCACTAGGAGACTGTGAGTTCTAGTTCTGCTTGCAGCACGAAAGCAAGCTGGGTGACTTTGGGCCCATCACCAGGAGATGGTGAGTTCTAGTCCTGCCTTAGGCACGGAAGCTGGGTGGGTGACTTTGGGCCAATCACCAGGAGACAGTGAGTTCTAGTCCCACCATAGGCATGAAAGCCAGCTGGGTGACTTTGGGCCAATCACCAGGAGACGGTGAGTTCTAGTCCCGCCTTAGGCATGAAAGCTGGCTGGGTGACTTTGGGCCAATCACCAGGAGACAGTGAGTTCTAGTCCCACCTTAGGCATGAAAGCCAGCTGGGTGACTTTGGGCCAATCACCAGGAGACAGTGAGTTCTAGTCCCACCTTAGGCATGAAAGCCAGCTGGGTGACTTTGGGCCAATCACCAGGAGACAGTGAGTTCTAGTCCCGCCTTTGGCATGAAAGCCAACTGGGTGACTTTGGGCCCATCACCAGGAGACGGTGAGTTCTAGTCCAACCTTAGGCACGGAAGCTGGGTGGGTGACTTTGGGCCAATCACCAGGAGACGGTGAGTTCTAGTCCTGCCTTAGGGGGAAAAACAAGACTGGCCAATTACCAGGAGAACTGAAGTTTCTTGGATGAGAAACAAAACATCTTAAATAAAAATTAAAAAGTCCAGTTATCTTTGAAAGTTGAGGTAAGATGTCTTAGTCAGAAAAAAATGCTACCAGAATCCTGATTTTTTCCCCCCTACTGCAGACTTAACAGTTCTTCTACACTGAGTGATTTCTTTGAACACGAGAATGCTTTTGGTTGGTGAATCATTTAATTCTTTCCCCTTGCATCACGCTCCTCTTTCTTCTTTTTTTCTTTTGGTCTTTTGTCATTACAGGAATCAAGACGATTATCAGCTAGTTCGAAAGTTAGGCCGGGGCAAATACAGCGAAGTCTTCGAAGCCATCAACATCACAAATAATGAAAAAGTAGTTGTTAAAATTCTGAAGGTGAGGCTGCTGTGCAGAGAGAGATTTTTTTTATATATATATAAAATGCCCCTTATAGTTAATTTCGGTCAAATTTTTATGTCTTGTCATTAGAATCACACAGGAGATCGTATGCCAGTTGACCGCTTCGTTAATTGGCCTGTCCCTGTTGTGTTCTGGGGTAAATGTCTACAGTAAAAATAAAATTATCAATAGAAGAGAATATTTGTAGCTCAGGGTTGAACGGAAGGGTCCTTGGTTCTCTCTGAGCTCAGTGGTTTCCTTGCGGACGTTTTGTGACCCAACTAGATAACAACATCAGTGCTAGAAGGGAGGAGGAGAAGGACAATGACTGGGATCCTTGGTGCTCTCTGAGTTTTCTTGTTTTCTTATAGACATTTCATTACCAAACTAGATATCATCATCAGTGCTAGAAGGGAGGAGGAGGAGGAAAGGAGAAGTGGGAGAGAGACAGGAAGTGGGGGAGGAGGAGGAGGAAAAAGGAGGAGGAGGAGAGGAGGAGAAGGACAATGACTGTGGGATCCTTGGTGCTCTCTGAGTTTTCTTGGTTTCTTATAGACATTTCATTACCAAACTAGGTATCACCATCAGTGCTAGAAGGGAGGAGGAGGAGGAGGAGGACGAAAAAGAGGAAGGAGGAGGAGGGGAGGAGGAGGAGGACGATGACTGGGGGGTCCTTGGTGCTCTCTGAGCTTGGTGGTTTTCTTGCAGACTTTTCGTGACCCAACTAGATAACATCATCAGTGCTAGAAGGGAGTGAGGTTTGCAGATATTTCATTACCCAATGAGGTAACATTATCAGTGCTGGAAGGAAGTAGGGAGGTGGAGGAAGAGGAGGAGGAGAACATTGGGGTCCATGGTGCCTTCTGAGCTGAGTGGTTTCCTTTTAGGCGTTTAATGACCTAACTAGATAACATCATCAGTGCTAGAAGGGAGTGTGGTTGGGGAGGAGGACGACGACTGTGGGGTTCTTAGTGTTTCCTGCGCTTGATTTCTTGCAGACCTTTTATTACCAAACTAGGAAACATCATCAATGCTGTTGTGTGCAAGAAAACCAGCTGGCTCAGAGAGCACTGAGAACGCAGCATGAAAAAGGATTTATTTATTATGCTTGTAAGATGATTCTGGGCAGCTCTTTTACTGTTAATTACTGTGTCAATATTTTAAGAACGGGACTTTTAAAGATAAAAGATAAAAATGTTACGGTGGTGAACAGCAGTGAAACAGAGATATGCATGCCATCTTAGGATGATCTTGGGTGAGATCTTATACCATCCTGGTTAAATGGTTGTCTTGTCCCGTCTTGAAAACCTCCAGTGTTGGAGCCTCCACAACTTCTGGAGGCAACTTCTGTTCCACTGGTTAATTGTCCTCACTGTTAGAAAATTTCTCCTTAGTTCCAGGTTGCTTCTCTCCTTGATTAGTTTCCATCCGTTGTTTCTTACCTGCCTTCTGGTGCTTTGGAAAACAGCTTGACTCCCTCTTCTTTGGGGCAGCCCCTGAGATATTGGGGCACCACTGTCATGTCACCCCTAGACCTTCTGTTCATTAAACTAGACGTACCCAATTCCTGCAGCCGTTCTTCGTATGTTTTAGCCTCCAGTCCTTTCATCATCTTTGTTGCTCTTCTCTGCACTCTTTCTAGAGTCTCAACGTCTTTGTTTTGTATCGTGGTGACCAAAACTGGACGCATTATTCCAAGTGTGGTCTTACCAGTGCAGTATTAAGCGTTTTATTTATTTATTTATTTTGCCTGCGCTCTGGGAGATGACATAACAGAGCGTCCGGCCTACTTTTCCTTCCACGTTTTTAAGAGCTGCTGGGAAGAAGGTTTTATATTTGCCTTTTTGATTAGCTGAAAACTTCATATTCCTGTGACGTGAATCCATATTCTGGAAAGGCTCCAGAAAGAGTGCAGAGAAGAGCAACTAAGATGATTAAGGGCCTGGAGACTAAATCATATGATAAACGTTTGCAGGTATTGGGTATGGCCGGTCTAGATAAAAGAAGAACTAGGTGTGACATGATAGCAATCTTCCTATATTTGAGGGGTGCCACAAAGAAGGAATCAACCTATTCTCCAGAGCAGGGGTCGCCAACCTTTTGGACCTCAGGGACCACCAAACTCATAATTTTAGATCCCAGGGACCACTAACCAGTTCTGTGAGTGTGGCCTAATTTGTGGGTGTGGCTTGGTGGTCATGTGACTGGCTGGGCATGGCTTGTATGCAAATATTATAAATATTTATATAAATATTGATTTTTTTTAATAAAAAAGAGCAACTTTTACCCAAAATCAGGCAAAGCAAGCAGATTGAGTTGCTCACAGAATCACAGATTCATTCAGAGATCTATCTGCCATCGGCTAGCTCAGTCTGTCACATAACATTTGCTTGCAAGCAAACTCATAAAATTTACTAGCAAGCAAACTCACAAAATTAACTCACAATGCACCATGTATGTAAATATTGAATTTTTTTTATAAAAAAAAGAGCAACTTTAATCCAAAATCAGGCAAAGCAGGCAGATTGAGTTGCTCACAGAATCATTCAGTGATCTATCTATCTGCCATCGGCTAGTTCAGTCTCTCAAATTTGCTTGCAAGCAAACCTTCAGTCCTAAGGGAGGTTCGGCTGTGCTTAAAAGCAGAGCCGAAGATCGAAAGAAGATCTAGAAAGCAAGAAATCCAACCATTTCCTGCTTCCTAGCTAATCCAAATCTCCCGGCACAGCAGAACAGATGATGGTCGGAAAAAGGAAAAATAGCAATTTAGCAGGCAGGTTTACCGGGTAAGGAGTGAGTGGGCGGGGAGGGTTCCCGCGGGCCATGTGGGCAGCGCAGCCTTGTGTTTCTGCGCAGCCTGGATTAATTGCTTTGGGGGGGGGGGGTGCTTTGGGGG